TGGTAATGCACTGGATAATAAATAAAGGTCTTGTGAAGTGCTTTGAAATGTACATTGTTATTGGATGTTTGACGTAATCTCAACTGAAACATGAAGAGTGGGTGGGACATAGTGTAGCTCCTCCCCCTTTTGAAAAGCAGCCAATAGTGTTTTGTTTTTATCGCTGCTCTGCCAGTGGGAGCATCAAATGAAATTCTATTGGGAAGCGTCTTGAAGGGGGTGGGGCGTTGCAGATACTAGAGAGCATTTGATTGGTTATGATGTGATCAGACTGTAGTGTGAGGTGACATAAAAAAACAAGGATCTATTCATGCGGAGGTGACAAACTACAAGCTTCACATGTTTATATCAGTTTTATATCTTCTAAATGCAAATTGTAACTGGATTATAGCAATACAGATATCCTAAAAACCAACGATACTGGTACTTGCTTCTAAAAAACTTTATTAAAATTTTATTGGAGCTTTCAGCAACAAAAAAAAATGCTATTTTAAGATTTCCTTTACATCTACGTCTTCTCATTATCAGGTTTTCCAAGGCTGTGGTAATTTTGTGTTTTCATTATCGCTCAGTAGCTGATTTTATGCTTGTTTTGATTTATTTTAGACTGCCAATCACTCAGATTATGACATTTTTAAACTGTAAAACTTCAACAATAAAGTAATGTATTTGCATTGGTTTTTAATAGTAACAAAAATAGTTTATGTGCAGTCTTTATACACACTTGCTTTTCTGTCTTAAGGTTTTTGTCTCGTTTCTAGTTCAAATATCTAGAAATTAAATTAAATCGAGAAGAATTTCTAGACAAGTAATCATACTGTCACAATTAAATTAGTTCTTCCTTATAACAAGCAAAATAATGTTATTTTAAAGCAAAAACATGTTTATTTTACATTATTTAGCTTTTTTTAAAGTGAAAAACTAATTTAATTTTGACTTATAATTTCTGAAAGCAAAACAATATTTTTAAAAGTCTAGAAAACTTTCCAAAAACACAGCATGGCTGACAAAGTATCCTTATATAAAATGATCATATATGGTGGCCATATTTAATTTATCAGTATATTTTGATCAACTATCCACCTATTTACCATTTCAGCTTTAGTTTTTCATTCTCTCCACAAGCGAACAGCTCAATCTAATTTAAAAGCAAAAACAGGTTTATTTTACATTATTTAGCTTGTTTTAAGGGAAAAATCTCACTTAATTTTGTCTTAAAAGGAAAACATTATTTTTACTCGTCTAAAAAACTGCATATTTAACTAATAATTAAGTGATAAAAGCATCTTTTGCAGTGTACCTGTGTGATTAATGCTTTCCAAAATATTGACTGCACAAAAACACAGCACGATTGATAAACTACCCCATTTAAACTGATTCAGCTTTAGTTTTTCTTTCGCGCCACAAGCGAACAGCTCTGTGACCCATTTTAAAGTCTCGACCTGCCCATTGAAAAGCACTGATATCAAAAATAATCTTATTTCAAAGCAAAAACATGTTTACTTTACAATATTTGGCTAGTTTTAATGAAAAAACTCAATTTTAACTTGAAAGTGAAACAGTATTTTTTTTAACTTTATATATTTAACCAATAAATAATCAATAAAAGCATTTTTTTGTGTAATTTTCTGATTATTACTTTCCAAAAACAGCACAATTGACAAACTAACTCTATATACACTGATCATACTGTATATAGTATCAATAGTCTTAGTATATTTTAATTAACTATCCTCATATTTACTAATTCAGCTTTAGTTTTTCTTTCTCTCCACAAGCGAACAGCTCTGTGACCCATTTTAAAGTCAAAAACTGCCCATTGAAAAGCACTGATATCAAAAATAATCTTATTTTAAAGCAAAAACATGTTTAATTTACAATATTATATATTAATACTTAATTTTGACTTGAAAGCAAAACAGTATTTTTTACTTGTATATTTAACCAATAAATAATCTATAAAAGCAATTTTAAGTGTAATTTTGTAATGATCGCTTTCCAAAAAAAGCACAGTTGACAAACTAACTATATAAAGTGATTATATATAGTCATATGTAGTTTGTCTGTATATTTTGATTAGCTGTCCTCATGTTTACTATTTCAGCTTTAGTTTTTTTCACAAGTGAACAGCTCTGTGACCCATTTTAAAGTCACAACCTGCCCATTGAAAAGCACTGATATCAAAAATAATATTTTTAAATGCATAAACAGGTTTATTTTAAATTATTTAATATAATTAAGTGATAAAAGCATATTTTGCAGTGTACCTTTGTGATTAATGCTTTCCAAAATATTGACTGCACAAAAACACAGCACAGTTGATAAACTATCCCCATTTAAACTGATCATATAAAGTCATATGTAATTTGTCAGTATATATTGATTAACTGTCCTCATGTTTACTATTTCAGCTTTAGTTTTTTTCACAAGCGAACAGCTCTGAGACCCATTTTAAAGTCACGACCTTCCCATTGAAAAGCACTGACATCAAAAATAATCTTATTTCAAAGCAAAAACATGTTTACTTTACAATATTTGGCTCGTTTTTAGGAAAAAAACTCACTTAATTTTGACTTAAAAGCAAAACAGTATTTTTACTTGTCTAGAAAACTGCATATTTAACTAATAATTAAGTGATATAAGCATCTTTTGCATGTGTATCTTCATAATTAATGCTTTCCAAAATATTGACTGCACAAAAGCACAGCACGGTTGATAAACTACCCCCATTTAAACTGATCATATTCATATTTTATTTGTCAGTATATTTTGACTAACTGTCCTCATGTTTACCATTGCAGCTTAAGTTTTTCATTCTCTCCACAAGCGAACAGCTCTGTGACCCATTTTAAAGTCATGACCTGCCCATTGAAAAGCACTGATATCGAAATCACGACCTTGAGTGACACGCCATGGTCATGTGAAATCAGATCGGCCTGCTCTGAACGCAGCAGGAATTAGTTGTCAGGCCGGAAAGAAAAGCCGATATTTACAGTTGCTCTGCTACAGAACACGCCCTGCTGCTGCTGCTGCAACTCCATTCAGAGGCTTGGTCAATCAGTTGAAGTCAGAATTATGAGCCCTCCTCTATATTTTATTCCCCAATTTCTCTTTATTAAGATTTATTAACTGATTTCTTTTAATGCCATGATGACCACGGATAATATTTGACTAGATATCCATCAAAATACTAGTATTTAGCTTGAAGTACTTTTACTTTATATATTTAACCAATAATTAAGTGAATTTTGCATTGTCATTTCGTGATTATTACTTTCCAAAAACATCGCGGTTGACAAATTATCCTTATTTGAATAGTCATGTTTAATTTGTCAGAATATTTTGATTAGCTTACCTCATGTTTACTAATTCAGCTTTAGTTTTTCTTTCTCTCCACAAGCGAACAGCTCTGTGACCCATTTTTAAGTCATGGTCTGCCCATTGAAAAGCACTGATATCTGAAATAATCTTATTTTAAAGCAAAAATATGTTTATTTTAACATATAAATATGTTAATAAATCTAACTAGGTTAACTAGGATGAAGATACTTAGGCAAGTCATTGTATAACAGTGGTTTGTTCTGTAGACAATTAAAGAAAACATTGCTTAAGGGGGGTGATAATAATGACCTTAAAATGGGTTTAAAAAAATTAAAAACTGCTTTTATTCTAGCCGAAATAAAACAAAGAGGACTTTCTCCAGAAGAAAAAATATTATAGGAATTACTGTGAAAAATTCCACGCTCCATTAATCGTCGTTTGGGAAATATTTAAAGGAGAAGCAAGAGGCTGAATAATGGTGACTTCAACTGTACATGCGCTCTGGCTGCGGGCCAACAGATTTGCTGTTGGTTGAGAAGGGCGAGGCGAGCTGTGGGTACGTGACTAAACATCTCGCTTCCTCTTTTTAACGTCACGAGGGCTTGCACAAACACATCCTGCCTTGTGTCTGCAGATTTCAGACGCATTGCTTCACCCATAGAGCCCTGGAGCTGCACTCAGCTGGAACCAATCCAACACAGAAAAGGGAAGGACCTACAACGCTATTTGTTGGTTCTTCTCCCACTGTGGACTTTGTGTACTCAGTGACCAGACAGGATCATATAACCTGTAGAACCACGATCAGAAAAGCAGAGTGTGTGTGTGTGTGTGTGTGTGTGTGTGTGTGTGTGTTCAGTGTGGGGATTAATGAAAGCTTGAATGTGTGATTTCACAAGTGTGATGAAATGTAATGTACAGTACATGCCCAGGGCTTTTATTATTGTGGGTTGATGTGTGGTGATTTTGTGCACTTCAGAAGGGGAATGTGGGGGGAGATCCAGATATATTTGACTTTAATACATGGACATGAACTCATCTGAATTTACTTTACACCAGCAAGAGGTGAAATATTAATACAAGTTAGTAAAAATGTTTACATTATAAATAATTAACTCATTATTTAAACTATTTTTATTTAATCCAAATCAACTCTGGCCCACTATAAAGGTCTAATGCTCGGACGAAGAAGTAAATAAATAACCAGACCTTTTGTCCCAGTGGTTCGTGATTAATAAATGTTTCATGAAGCGCTTGGTAACCGACGACAGAAAGTGTATATCCACACTAACAGTCCCGTGCCAGTAAATGAGTTTCCTCATATTATTTTCCATGTTTTCCCCGATGTCAGGAACCGTGTTCGGCTTTAAAGAGTAGATGTGACCGCTCGCCGTTCCCTCCGGCGTGAAAGAGTCTGGCTGATTTGCATATAAGCTCCTCGTACGTCAGCGCGTTTAAAGAGAACTTTCGACTCTCGGAGATGTGTGCGTGTGTGTTTTCTTCTCTTTTTTTCCAGCTCGTCTCTGATATCGAAAGCTCTCCGCGTCGCAGCTCTGGCCTGGATTCAGCACAGTTAAATAAAGGCAGCGCGCGCGGGAGGGAGGGGGAGCCGACAGCGCATGCGCCGCAGGGGCTGTTCTGTCGAAGAATCAAGTAAATAGACGCGGAGCGGCGGTGACGTCACTGCTCCACATTGAGCTCCAGCCTGGCCGCGGTAGTAGTGAGTGAGAGAGACCGAGCGCGCGTCGTAGTAAAGCACGCTACTATGAAGTTCTGTTTGTAACTTAATTATTACTTGCGCCACCGCGACAGGAACCTACCTTGTTTTTCCCCAGCATCATTCCACACAGGATTGTGCCGTATTTCGGAGGGGTTTTCGCCCGAGAGAGAGCGATGTCGTCCGCGGCGGTTGCTGCTTCGAGGAGGCAGTCGTGTTATTTATGTGACTTGCCCCGCATGCCGTGGGCTATGATCTGGGATTTTACCGAGCCCGTTTGCAGAGGATGTGTCAACTACGAAGGAGCCGACAGGATCGAGTTTGTCATTGAAACAGCCCGGCAGCTCAAAAGAGCGCATGGATTTCAGGACGGCAGACCGGCGGGGCCGGGGAAACAGTTACCGGGGAAGGAGATCCACGCGTCGGGAGACCCGGGCTCGCGCCCGCCGCAGCCGCTGGATCGCTACCCGCTCTCCTCAGAGCGTCCGCCCAGATTGGGAGCCGAGTATCAGTCTGCGAGACAGGCGAACGGCATCCCAGTGCCTAACGGATTCTCAAAACCCGACGATCCTCCGGAGCTCAACCGCCAGAGCCCGAACCCGCGCAGGACTAGCGGCGTGCCGCCCAATTTAGTGCCTTTAGTGAACGGCAGCATGGCGCACGCGATGAACGGCAGACCGGGGCAGATGTCAGATCTCGGAGGGAATAAGCGACCGGCGTCGGTCTCCAGCACAGAGCACGACAAGGACAAGCACAGACCGGACAGCCTGACGCCGGAGATCAGCGACGGCCACAAGACGCGCGCCGACGACTGGCTCAACAAGAACAAAACCGTGCGGGAGCTGATGACGCTCAACCCGTACGACGGCAGATTCAAGAAGGAGCACATGCAGCAGAGGGTCATGTACGAGACTGGTCCTGCATCCAAATCAGGTATGCTATTATTTGTGTTCAGGCGTGCTGCATTTATTTGTTTTTAAAGCTGGATAGACGTAGAAAGGATCAATAACAGTGGCTATTTAGTGTACAACCTAGGTGTGTGTTCTTTATTTCAAGCTGGATGGACTGGAGATTAAAGCAGATCTGATTAACTTGTGTGTGTTTATTCACACATGCAGTGCAGTGCTAGCTTTGAATGAGAGCTCTATGGCATGAGTCAGCTGCGAGAGCAGAAAATTTCTGCTGATCAAAGCTCAACGTGTGTTTGCATGTGGTGCATTTGCAGGCAGCCTCATTGTTGCGTCTGGCACTACAATGCATCACTGCGTCTGCCACATTGTTATTGCATAAAGGCGGCTTTGTGCAGCTCATTCATGCAAGCTCCTGCTCTCTCTTTTTTGCAGATCGAGGCAAACATCCCAAGAATCTGAAGAGAAAAGCTTCTCCGGAGCCGGACGGGGAGGGCACGGCTGGGAAGATTAACGGAGACGGACAGCAGTGGCTGCCGTCGGCATCAGGGGACGGGTTGAAAATGCCCCCAGTGCCGCCGCCCAGCTTCACCTCTCCACCTTCCACCATCTCCCCGCACCCTCGCACCACCCCGCCGGAGGCAGGAGCCGCCGCCGCTGCCACCCAGAACGGACACTCTCCCATAGCAGCGCTCATTCTGGCCGCAGACAATGCTGGTGGCAACAGCTCGCCGAAGGACGCCAACCAAGTGCACTCGACCACACGCAGAAACAGCAACAGCCCGCTTTCACCAAACCAGCGGCGGCTGGCGCAGGGTGCAGGGACGCCTCACGTGCCAGGCATGGATGCGGTGCATCCGCAGAGCATCCCAGACTCGTCCGTTCCCAGCAGCATCCCGCTGTGCTGCACGCTTTGCCACGAGCGGCTGGAGGACACGCACTTTGTCCAGTGCCCTTCGGTGCCGTCACACAAGTTCTGCTTCCCATGTTCGCGGGAGAGCATCAAACAGCAGGGCGCAACCGGAGAAGTGTACTGTCCGAGCGGCGAGAAATGCCCCCTGGTGGGCTCCAACGTACCATGGGCTTTCATGCAAGGGGAAATCGCCACCATTCTGGCAGGAGACGTCAAAGTAAAAAAGGAGAGAGACCCTTGATTTGCAGCGTTTTTGGTTTCCCCTTTCCCTTTTTTTTTTGAAAGAATATTCAAAAATATTGGTCTATATAAATATATAAATATATCACACGCATACCATCCAGACAGAACTAACGGACTTGTACATAACGGACTTAAGGGACTTGCATACTTGGTAAACATTTGCTGTACATTTTTTGATTTTGATCTTCTTTTCTTTTTGAATACGTTGTGTTTCTATATATTTTTTTGAAGATAAACAGGTATGTGCTCATTATATCGGACTACGTTCTTCTTTGTCGATGTTTAACGATTTCTCGATGTACTTTTAGGTATGGTGGCAGTTCCTGTTAAACGTAGAATGTGACTAATGCAACTCTACGAGCACTTGGCAAAAAAAAAAAAAACTAAAGAAAAAAAAACGCTTCTAGCTGTACTTGTATGCACTTGTTTAAAAATTGCCAAATACATTTTCTGATCTTGTATTAACGGAGAGTCTCTGCTTGCTTCTTCTGAGGATTTTCGAGAGTGTTTGGTTTGTCGAGGCATCTCTCGGAGATGCCATCAGGTCGGTAGTTCATGTTACGGTGTATTTAGCAAATGCTGAGTACTAACGATCAGTATGCAGCCTCGTTAATACATAACAGCTATAATCTCCAGCGGTAACATGAGCACAGGCATGTAAATCATTGCCCTAACCAGTTATCTAGGTCGTGTTTGGGTACACTAGGTAGGTAGGAGGGCTTTGTGTATTGTGTGTTGCAGGAAATTGCCTCGTCAGACATGGGTGGAGTTGAGTGAAAGCGACTCGTGTGTTGACTAATGCTGAAAAACCCTACCATCTGTGTACGTCACCTCAGTTACTTCTGGAATTTTGGCCTCTCGCTGGCGCTTGTAAATCGCTAAACCAGTTTTCGCCTGACTTGAGTGTGTTTTAAATGAAAACACAGACAAAATATTGCATTATTGATGCTGACGGTTATATAACAGCGCAGTGTTTTGGAAAACATGCGCATGGAGTTTTCCACACACACACATGCGCGGGGCCTCTAGAGACATGGTAGCTTGTAAAACAACACATGGTCATGTGATCAGTTCTGGAATTCCCAAGTCACAATGGTTTGCCCTTTTTTAGTATTAGTCTGGCACTAATAATCTGATTTCATTTCTGTTTTAGCTTTATATAAGGAGTGTTTTTAGACACATTTTTAAATATATCCATCAGTGCATTCATAGCAATGTTAAGTCTTAAGTTTGCATGCACTGTAAAATATATATCAATAAATTAATATCTTTTATTTATTTATGCTTTTGAATTGAATTTTAGGACTCTAATCTGTCCTCCAGAAACTTTTGATATTGACAACATTGAAAAAGTGACTATTATTGACATTTTTAATGCTTTAAAGTGATAAATTGTCTGGATTATTGTTGTAAATTACAGTACAAATGCTGCCAGTGTTTTTTCCCTCTTATATTACAGACTTCAATATTATTTCAATATTTCTTATGTAATATATTGTTTCAAACTATTAAAATGTCAATAAAAGTCACGTTTATTAAACAGAAGGGATGAATATTCATCATTAAAAGTTGGCAGAGTAGAGATTAAGGACCTGTAATACAATTCATAACCCTAAATCAGGGGTCACCTGACTCCTGGAGGTCCAGATCCCTGCAGGGTTTTGCTCCAACTTATCTCAACACACCTGCCTGGGTGTTTCAAGTATACCTAGTAAGACCTTGATCAGCTTGTTCAGGTGTGTTTGATTCGGGTTGGAGCTAAAATCTGCAGGACACCGGACCTCCAGGAACTAGTTTGGTGACCCCTACCTTAAATGAATGTAAACAAACCTGTTAATTACAAAATATGGAACTTATTAATGATCATATTAGTATTTTTTAAAGTGTGCGATTAATATTGCTGCACAATATGAATGCATAACATACCTTATATACTGTAACTGTGTAACTTAAGCAAAGCAGCCGTGTGTAATGTTGAAAATCCAGTCGCTCTTCATAGTTTATGCTTTGGTTCTAGTCATGAGTTGTGCATGATCGGGTGTTGTTTGTTTGAAATACCATGTTAAACATATCAGAATGCAGTTTTTAAGTGATGATATGCAGCAGCAGTCAGTGCAGGCAGTAGAAGAGACAAACTATATTGTTCAAACTATTAAAATGTCAAGAAAAGTCACGTTTATTAAACGGCAGGGATGAATAATCATCATTAAAAGTTGGTAGAGTAGAGATCAAGGACCTGTAATTCAATTCATAACCCTAAATCAGGGGTCACCAATCTCGTTCCTGGAGGTCCGGTGCCCTGCAGGGTTTACCTCCAACTTACCTTCAAGTATACCTAGTAAGAGCTTGATCAGCTGGTTCAGGTGTGTTTGATTCGGGTTGGAGCTAAAATCTGCAGGACACCGGCCCTCCAGGAACAAGTTTGGTGACCCCTACCTTAAAAGAATGTAAACAAACCTGTTAATTACAAAATATGGAACTTATTAATGATCATATTAGTATTTTTTAAAGTGTGCGATTAATATTGCTGCACAATATGAATGCATAACATACCTTATATACTGTAACTGTGTAACTTAAGCAAAGCAGCCGTGTGTAATGTTGAAAATCCAGTCGCTCTTCATAGTTTATGCTTTGGTTATAGTCATGAGTTGTGCATGATCGGGTGTTGTTTGTTTGAAATACCATGTTAAACATATCAGAATGCAGTTTTTAAGTGATGATATGCAGCAGCAGTCAGTGCAGACAGTAGAAGAGACGAAATATATTATTCAAACTACTAAAATGTCAATAAAAGTCATGTTTATTAAACGGCAGGGATGAATAATCATCATTAAAAGCCAGAGGTCTAGAGTTCAAGGACCTGTAATGCAATTCATAATCCTAAATCAGGGGTCACCAATCTCGTTCCTGGAGGTCCAGTGCCCTGCAGGGTTTAGCTCCAACTTGCCTTCAAGTATACCTAGTAAGACCTTGATCAGCTTGTTCAGGTGTGTTTGATTCGGGTTGGAGCTAAAATCTGCAGGACACCGGCCCTCCAGGAACAAGTTTGGTGACCCCTACCTTAAATGAATGTAAACAAACCTGTTAATTACAAAATATGGACCTTATTAATGATCATATTAGTATTTTTTAAAGTGTGCGATTAATATTGCTGCACAATATGAATGCATAACATACCTTATATACTGTAACTGTGTAACTTAAGCAAAGCAGCCGTGTGTAATGTTGAAAATCCAGTCGCTCTTCATAGTTTATGCTTTGGTTATAGTCATGAGTTGTGCATGATCGGGTGTTGTTTGTTTGAAATACCATGTTAAACATATCAGAATGCAGTTTTCATTAATGATATACAGCAGCATTCAGTGCAGAGAGTATAACAGACGCAGTGCAATGATGTGGTTTGGTTTACAAGCATGTAAATCTCTCCACACATGCACAACGTCTCAAAAGTCATGCAGTGAATGCATAAGTTGTAAAAACAGCACATGGTCGCATAGTCTGTGTTCCTGGCATGCTATTATTTATAATCTTGAGTAGTAATTTAACAGCATGCATGCTTTTAGGTTTGCATATAGAGTGTTGTTGGTAACGACATGCTCTGGTTGTGCTGCAAAACGTCAATGCTATCGGTTACATAACAGTAGCAGCGCAGCAGTGCAATGAAGTGGTTTGACATGCATGAATATAAATCTCTCTCCACACAGACACGGAGCCTTCAAAGAAATGTGGTGAATGCGGTAGCACACGCTCACATGCTCGTCTCTGGAATTCTCAAGTCACTGTCCTTTTACGCTCGCTTGTTATCTTGGTGCTGGTAATTTAGCTATGCGTGTAAAAGTTTTGTATGGTGGGTGTTACGTAAGCTGTAAAACAGAAGCAGGGCAGCGATGCCATTTGCGTGGTTTGATGTTTATGAGCTTTAAACACCTAAAAAAAATATGTGATCACCTGTTCAGCTGTTTAAAGTTTGCATTTTATTTGGCGTAAATTAAATAGCGCCAGTGTAGGGCTGCACGATACTGGAAAATATGCAATGTTTTTGAGTATTGGGATAACTGGGGTTGCACAGTAGATTGTTTTAGCATCAATATCGCAACGTATCAATCTGCAGTAGTCACATCGCAGAATCTCCAACATCAAGTTGGGATTATAATTAACCAGAACATGTTATTTTTACATTTAATTACTGAATTCCTGTATGTAAGTACTGTTAGACTGCACAGAAAAACATAAAGTGATGTTTATTTATTTATTTTTTCTTTCGTTTTCATCTGGGCTTCTATTTATTTATTGTATTTTGCATATTTTTGCATAATCTTGTATGCTTGTATGACTTGTATGACATACACTTGTATGATTGGTCAAATTTAGATAAACGAACAATGCATTATTTTAATGTAATTTATCACAAGTTTGCGTTACATATCGCATATACTATTATCGCGATAATGGTACTTTTTTCCGATACATTGTGCAGCCCTAGCATCCAGTTACATCAGATTTTAATGTTAATGCCAGTACAAGAAATGTTACATAACAACGTTTGTGTCTTTATTAATCTAACTTGACGTTATCTGGTAAACTGGTGCATGATTGGTCAAATTTAGATAAACGACCAATGCATAAAATAAATGTAATTTATCACACAAGTCTGCAATACATATCGCATAAACTATTATTGTGATAACGATACTTTTTTCCAATACATTGTGCAGCCCTAAAAGTGTTACATAACATTTGTGTCTTTAAGAATTCTATTTTTAAATTTAGATAAACCACCAATGCATAATTTAAATGGAATTTATCACAAGTCTGCGATACATATATCGCATATACTATTATCGCGATAATGGTACTATTTTCAGTTACATCAGATTTTGGTGTTAATGCCACTACAAAAAATGTGTCTTTATTAATCTAACTTGACGTTATCTGGTAAACTGGTGCATGATTGGTCAAATTTAGATAAACAACCAATGTTTAAAATAAATGTAATTTATCACTTATATCTGCAATATATCTCGCATATACTATTATCACAGTAACTATACTTTTCCGATACATTGTGCAGCCCCAGCATGCAATTACATCAGGTTAAAACCAATACCAAAAATTTACATAACATCAACACAACAATGCAGCGAACTTGTTTGACATGCAATGAAAGTGATGAAAGTGAAATCATGCACGAACACCCTAATATACTCTCATTTTTTAATCTAACTTAACTGGTAAACTGGTGCATGTAGGCTGTTTATAATAACATCAAGCTATAAACTGGAGCCATTACGGCACTAAAAGCCAAGAAGAAGCTCAACTATTACTCCATTATTCCTCCAGGCTTTCAACACTAACATCTCCTGACCCATATGAAACCTTCATTCAGAGATGCATCGACGCCATTAGCGGTTTCAGCAGGGGCTGTTACTGGAAATGCATGCTTGAATAGCAAACCGCTCATT